CAGGCAAGCAGACATCTGCAAGTTGCTTCAAAGAGTTTCTGCAGCTTGTGTTAAGGAACCAGGCATTTCAACACCATCAACATCAACATCAGATATTACTGATGCTGATGATCCTCAAGAAGAGCCACACTCCGAAGCAGAGCCACATTCTGAGGCAACCTCAGATCCAAAGGTGCCTTCAGAAGCAGCTGAGGGGCAGTAAATGTACAGTATACTATTTACTATATTATTACTTATATCATAGCTAAAATATTAAAAGTTATTATATCATAGTTAAAATGTAGGCTTAGTTTCTTTCTTGAAAAGTGTTATGCACTTGGAAAATTTGGTGAACCATAAATATAACTCTCAGATAACCGGCATATTTGATTAACCGGCACCCCCAATTCCCCATGGATACTGGATAACAGAGCTTTTACTGTAAATAGACATATTGAGTTAAAACTGGAAACGGCCAGTGTTACATGTATCCGACCTAACTATAAACCTTTTATCACAATTTTAATTGAAGGATGGGTAAAACAGTTTTCCAATATTGTAGAGGGTGAAAGATTGTCTAGAAATAAATGAGATACTGGGACTATTCTAGGTAGGATAGTTGCTGGCCTCAGTGTTATGAATACAGCAAATACTGAGGTAGTGATGAATAAACTAGCCCAGGCCACAAGGTAATTGAGAGAGATAAAAAGGCCTATTACGTCATCCTTGTCCAAAATTGGAAAGCAGGCTGTGTTGAATGCAGAGGTGCTTCCAATATGGCATGAGGTGATTCAATTAGAGCAAAAGCAATTGAGAAATCGCAAAATGATACAGGATTGGCATTATCTTATACCCAGGCACAGTCTTGGGTGCAGGCCATTATTAGTGGTATAATCTAACAAGGTCAATCCAGCATCATAACTTAGAGTTAAACCAGTTAGTCTTAAAGGTAGCTACTCTGACCGAAATTCAAAGAGTGGTGAACGTTAACTTCCTTTGGATACCTTCCAAAGAGAAATGAAATAGTAGCAGATATACGCACGATTGCTCAAGCCAAAACTAAACTCATTAATCCTCCCATCAACATTAAAAGAAGAATAAATGGATCATTATTCTTTCCTAGGATAGAAGCACAATGGGTAAATTATCAAAACGATAGTTCAGCAGAGCTAACTGATGTAAAACATTGCCTTGCCCACCAAGGACTAAGATACATTTGTGAAGGCATGCATCAACCAACTAGGGATAATTGCAGAAATTCGGACAATTCTACTTTTACCAAGTGTCATTTTGATATCATTCAAGAAAGAAACTCTACAACTGCCATATACGTACTCAATCAACAGTGTATTTGTATAAGCACTTGGCGTACGGAAGTTATCTAGAATCATTGGAAAAAGGTGGTTGTGTTGTGGCAGAATCAAACTTTTTGTGCATGTCACGTTTCTCATGTTTCTAGCTGTGATGTTAATGTTTCTATTCCTTATGTATATAATTGGACATTAAGTGTAAATGTTACTGTTTATGATAATATAGAGCCTGTTTGTATTGGAATTAATTTATTGGTATTAAGACAACTGATTTTACATGATGGGATTCAGAAAATATTAGAAAAGAATGTTAAAGAAGCCGAGAATATGTATGTAAAGGTTATCCATAGGAATCTGTACATATCTTAAACCAGGTTGTTGACACTGCAAGGCACCAGTGGTGGGAAACGTTGGGGTAGAGCCCAATAGTATTCAGAGTATTAAATCTGGCCCTCCATCCAGTAATTGTGGTGATGATCGGACAATTACATTTGGGAATAATGAGTGTAATGACAATGATATGGATGTGCAGGGTGCAAAAGAAGTTAATGTACATATACAGAGTGATCAGGTTGACTTGATCCAAGTGCAGATTTGTTGATGTGTTGAAAGATGAGTTTTTGAGAAAACGGGGTGGAAATGAGAGTGATGAGTATGTATCAATGGAAAAGATGAATGAGGATGTAAAAATGATAATGTATGAAAAGAATTAATGGCTTGGTATGATAAGCTGAATGTCTATAGAATTTGAATTAATGTTGGAGTAATAATTTGTTTAGTAAAAAGTTCCTTGGAAGATGGAACAGAAGAAAAGAAGAGATCACTGAGTAGACCCATGTGGAGACCTCTCCCCATTGTTCAACACAACTGGTCACATCTGGTGTCCCACTTGACAGCATGGCATGGGGTTGCAATAATGATTGGGCATGACGAATTTGTATGAACCCATGACCCAGCATCTCATGTTGATGTAGTGATACCTCGAACATTGTTACATCTATGTGAGTATCAAGGAGGGGACTGTTGCGGCCAAACTTAGGGTCTGGGCCTACATACAAGGATGAAGACACTATGGTACCACAGCACAGATGGAAAGTGGGTCACCAAGTGAACTGTGAGTGACCTTGCCTCATGAAAGATGATGTAAGACCACTGAAAGAGATGTGTGAAGCTTTTGGGGCCAAGTGCAGAGCCACCTAGGTAACGTGCGCACATAGCCTATAAAGGGGGGGTGTGGGCGGAGTTCAGCGTGCGTCTGAGGGTGTGTGTGGTTTGGTGTGGGACCAAGGGTGTGTATTGTTTGAGAAATACATGCATGTCTATGGGTGAATGTGTTGCTGTGAAGTTTTGGGTCTGTGTGTGTCTGAGGGTGTGTGCGTAGAGTGATCAAGGGAGTGAGATAGATTGAGGCCTGTGTTGGAGATCGACTAGAGAGAGGGAGAGATCGTATGAGAGCACAGGAAGAGACAGACTGAAGGAGAAGACAGGCACTCCGTGGAGGCTGTGTATACTCCAGAGGCTCGAAGGCCTCCATGCAGTTGCTCCCCTCCAGATTTGCTTCTACACTAAAGTAAATAGAGTTGGCTCCCCAGACTTTTCCTCCCTGGGTGTGTGTGTCTTTGACACAGAGCAGCTCTTTGCTTTATTAGTAAGTATCATCTCAATCCCTCCCCTCCTTCTTCTATCCTTTTATTAGTTAAGCACCCTTGTTAGAAAGGCAGCAAGGTGGGAGGTAAGCCACCACGGACCTGTACTGGAGGATGGATGGCTGGTGACAGATCAGATGGCAGTGGAGATAAATAAAATTACTCTTGCTCCTCTGTAATAAATTCCACTCCTTTCTCCCTGCTATAGTTAATTGAAGTAGTTATTGGCTGTTCATTCATTAGTTGTGGTTAGTATTTAAGAATGTAAACCTGTGATTATCTGTTGATGTTTTTACTTGTTAAATGTTGTTAGTTGCTGTTGTTATTATAAACCATGTTATTCGTTTCAGTGCTAATTGAGTGTGTGTGGTAGTTAACTTAACTTCATCTACTTGCCTGGTAAATTGGGTAGTGATAGATATACCCTGGTTTAGCAGCTAATTGTCTCCGGGCCAAGAAACACCTCCCTTTACGTGAGTGGACAGTATAAGGCACAGCCCATTGAGCAACCTCATTTAATTAGGCGCTTCTTTAAGTCCCCGCATAACAAAGGAATGCAGAAGAGCTGGTCATATTTTAAAGACAGCTTACTGGGGGTGCAGGAACGAACCATCCTGACACACAGGAAGACTAGTGAGTATGGCAGAAGACCAGCTTGGCTTAGCAGGGAACTCTTCAGTGAGCCAAAATAAAAAAAAGGAAGCTTAGAAGGGGAAACTTAGACAAACAACTAGGGAGGTATACAAGAGCACAGCTGGGGCATGCAGAGATGAAATCAAGAAGGCCAAAGCACAGCTGAAGTTGCAGCTAGCAAAGGACATGAAGGGTAAGAAGTTTCTAAAAGTATGTCAGCAACAAAAGGAATATCAGGAAAGTGTTGCCAGTAGATCAAGGGAAGTGATTATTTTCCTCTAGTCAGCACTGCTGAGGCCACTTCTTGAGCACTGTGTGCAGTTTTAGGCCCCACACCACAGAAAGGATGTGGACAAGTTGGAGAGTCCGGCAGAGAGCAATAAAAGTGGTTGTGGGCTGGGGCACATGACTTCTGAAGAAAGGCTGAGGGGAGACTGAATGGCAACCTTCAACTACCTGAACGGTGGTTTGAAAAAGAATGGGGCTGGACCAGATTTGCTGGTGGTCATTTGTATCATTTTAACTTGGTGGCGTAGTATCTGTCAGGAGTTTGGGAACCGCTGAGCTAGACTGTTCTCAGTGGTGGCAGATGATAGAACAAGGAGCAACCGTCTAAAGTTGCAGCAAGGGAAGTCCACTTAGTTATGAGGAAAAACAGTCTTTGGAGAAGGGCAGCAAAACGCTGGAACAGGCTACCCTGGTGGAGCCTCTACCCCAGGGGCAGGCAACCCCCCCCCCACGGGTGCCAAAGTGTGGCACTCAAAGATATTTTGCTTGGTATGTATGCTTCCTGGGTGGATGGTGGGGAAGAAGCCAGGGCTGTATGGCCATAAGGATCAGGCCCTTTGTGGCTCCCGCGTCATCTGCCCCGGAACGCCAACATCTTTTAAGTTGAAGTTGTGGGTGTTCTCGACACTGCTCAAAACCGTGGCCGACCCTGCTTTAACCCTGATAGATCATTTTAAGCCCCGGCTAGAGGCAGCCTCGGCTGGGAGGACACAGCTAGAGCTAGCGTGGCTCTGAGCAGCGAGTAGGACTAGATGCCCTCCTAGAGTCCCTTCCAACTCTCATTTCCTATGATCCCTGGGCCCCAATGAACCGCATGAGCCACGACTAATTTGCCGCGCCCACAGCACCGCCTCCACGCCTGCGCCTCAGCGCCTAGCGCACTCCTCACCTCCCCCCTCCGGCGCGGCGCGTCGGCCTCGTAGCCCTGCCCACCCCCGACGTGGTCACGTGACAACGAGCAACCTGCGCCGCGGACCCCTGGAGGCGGGGGGCGCCGACGTGCGGCGGAAGCGGCTGTGCGTGGGGCGGAAGCGGCTGTTTCGGTGCGTCTGTGCGGGCCTGCGGCGGGGGACTCGCCTCGCCTCGCCTCAGGGTGTCCCTGGGGTGGGGGAGTGGGGAGGGCACCCGGCCCCGGCGGTGCTGAGCGGTGTGGGTGCTGTCCCCGCGCAGCGTGATCCGGCTGATCATGCAGTACCTGAAGGAGAACAGCCTGCACCGGGCGCTGGCCACCCTGCAGGAGGAAACCACCGTGTCGCTCAACACCGTGGACAGCATCGAGAGCTTCGTGGCGGACATCAATAGCGGGCACTGGGACACGGTGCTGCAGGCCATCCAGTCCCTCAAGCTGCCTGACAAAACCCTCATTGACCTCTATGAGCAGGTGAGGCCCCCTGGCCCAGTCCCCTCTGACAGCCCAGCAGGAGCAGCATGATGAGCTCCCCACACCCGCCAAGGGGGCTTAAGCACCTGCCCCACAGTGCTGGTGGCAGAAGCAGTGTTTCCTGCAGAGGACTCAGTTGCACTTCTTATTGTCTGAACTCTCCCCTGACCTCGTGATGGCTGCCTGCACTTATGATGTCACTGTTGAGATTGGGAGCCACAAGCCAAGTTCAAGCACTGGCCATGTTTAACACGAATAAACAGTCCTGGAGAGCTAGTGTGGAAAATCTTGCCCCTGGAGGGAGTTACAGTTCCACTCGAAATAAAAGTAACAGCAGGTATCTCCAGAGCAGGGACGCTGTGCTGCAGAGATTTTCTTGGTGCAGTTTTGTCAGTTGGGTTACAGTGTTTGTGTAGTTCCCAACAAACCTCCAGCAACTCTGCAACCTTCCCCTCCTCCTCCACATGTGGAGACATAGCTATAACTAGTATTCTTCCTCCAACTCACTGCACTGATATGACAGCAATCATCTTTCCCCCGAACACACAACATAGTGATGTACTCCCAGTAGCTTGCTATTGTTCTCTCTGTGCTAGGGGTTGGCAACCCATGGGCTTGATCCAGCCTAAGGAGCCTTTTGGCCCAGCGTGCAGACGTGGGGCTTCAGCAGCTGCATTGACCTGTGGTTTTGGTCAGAAGTGGGTGGGTGCATGTTGGGCAGTGGCAACACAGGAAAAGCACCTACCAAGTCCAGTTTTCCCTGCAGCAGCATGGGAAGAGTGTCAGCAGCTGCTGCTTTTATCTGTAGCAGAAAGGGGCTTTCCCTGCTGCCACAGGGTTGAACATTGACTGTGAACACTTTCCATGTGCCGCCGTGGGAAAAACAGACCTTGGCAGGCGCTTTCCTGGTGCCACTGCTGGGAAAAGTGATGGCAGCAGCTGGTTCCTAATACCTGTCTTCTGCTCACCCACCCAAGGCTGACCTGACTTGAGTCAATCTGGCCCACAATCTGAAAAGGTCAGTCTGGCCCACCGTCCGACTCTGCCCTATATATTTCCCATTGTGATGCATCCCCAGACAGACAAAGCGGATACCAGCAAAAGGATTCTTTTGCATTTATAAACCAATGTGTTGTATCATTGGAATTAGGCCATATGAGTCTTTACAATGTAAACTAGTATATGAGCTAAATAATACGTTCTTAGACTAATATGTGAAGAATGGCTTAGTTTGGAGTAGAAAATGTTATTGTGTAGTTTAACTGCAATCGTTGGAATGGTGTTTCTTTATCTTCTGGATGCTAAAAGTGACTGTTTCCATCCTTTCAGGTTGTCCTTGAATTGATAGAGCTTCGTGAGCTGGGTGCTGCCAGATCCCTGCTGAGGCAAACTGACCCTATGATCATGTTAAAACAAACTCAGCCAGAGAGATATATTCACCTTGAAAACCTTCTGGCTAGGTCCTACTTTGATCCCCGCGAGGTATAGTTTTATTGATAAAAATACATTGTTATTGGGTTTTTTGTATACGTTAATTTATAGCTAGCATTTTTATGTAACATACCAACCAGTGAACGTTATATTCTTGTATTTGGAATGTTTTTTGTTGAGTTTTTTCCTGCATAAGTCATTCCTGAACCTAGACGTCTTTAACTGTAGTTTTAGAATTGTTCTTACTCTGTTATGCTTCACTTTTGTTTCTTCAACTTTTTATAAAGCATTTAACAAATAAACTATATTTTTAATATTGTTTCATAACTGAGAGGAAATGCGGTCTTATAGTGAAAGTCCTAGGCTGGCATTTGAGTGACCTGGATTCAGCCAGTCCTCATCTCTGCCACAGGTTTTCTGTGCAACGTTGGCCAGTTTATTTAACCTCCATGCCTGTAAAACTGCAGTGCTTTATAATTAAAGTTTTAGACTGCATATGTTAAGTTTACATTAAATCCCTTTATTCAGTTGTGGCCTCAGAATGATTTTTATCTGGGTTTCTTTCTTTGGTTTATCCCTGACCCCTCAAACTCTTGTGGTATGTTTTGGCCAAAATGCTAATGTGTAATATGCTATTAGTTAAAATATGTATGTCTGTGTATACATATACATACATACATCTCTCTCTTTCTCTTGAGATAGATAGATAGATCTCTAGAGAGAGAGAGAGCTATAGCTATATATTTTCGAGGAAAGATTCTTTCATGTGTAATTACTTTTTTAGGCATATCCAGATGGAAGCAGTAAAGAGAAACGAAGAGCTGCTATTGCTCAAGCTTTGGCTGGAGAAGTCAGTGTTGTACCTCCTTCTCGCCTTATGGCATTGCTGGGGCAGGTAATTCTTGAAGAAGATATTTTTACTTGCTATGCTAATTTTTCTAGATCTTTATTATCTGAGAGTCTCAGTGGGATAAACCATTCCTGAACTTTGTTGCAGTAGAATCTCACTAATATCATATTTGCATGTGAATTACCATCTCTTGTCATCAAGGATTTCATCATAGTAAGGTGTAGGGTTGTGAAAGGTAAATTGGTTAACAGTAAGTATATTTATAGCGGTAATGCATTACAGTTACAGTTTAGCGCCAGATGCAGTCCAGTGGGGAAGGGAAGTGGTGTGATGCCCAGGGAAAGTGGCCAGGAAGGCACTGCCTCCACCTCCCTATACATGTGCAAGCATATGATTGGGAGTGGGGACTAGTACACATTAAAGATAGTGTGAGCAGTCAGAAAGAAGCCATGCCTGTCTGTCACAGCATGTGGCTCTGCCTGCCCTTTCCCTGTGCAAGTGGATGCTGGGGATGAAGGGAGAGGGCTTCACGTGGGCTGTGGGGCTTACTGTTGCCACCTTGTTCCCTCCCCTCGTGCTTCTATAGCCAGTCCTGGGAAGCTGTACAACACAGCACCATACTGCACAACTGACCTACAAATGATTGCTTGTAAAGGAATCAAATGGTTGAACACAGTGTGTCCTTTCAGTTCAAAGATGGAAGTGCGGTGTTTACAGAAGGTTTTTAGGAAAATTTTTCTGTTTGAAAGAATTGTGAACAAAACCTCTTACAAGGATATTGCATTGCTTGAGCACAAATGTTTCTAACTATATTTCCTTTTCCCTTCTTATAAGGCACTGAAGTGGCAACAGCACCAGGGATTGCTTCCTCCAGGTATGACAATTGATTTATTCAGAGGTAAAGCAGCCGTGAAAGATGTAGAAGAGGAAAAGTTCCCCACACAGTTGAGCAGACATATTAAGGTAAAATGTTACATTTTTCCCAAGTGCTTGATATTACCTTAGATCAAGACTTCAGTTTTAACACACTATTTTCCAGGTCTTGCAACTGTTGAATATTGTTTCTCTGTAGAGTTTTCCTTGCCTGATTTTGGTTACGAGGGGATTTTTGGAAGTTTGAAGAGAAAAACCTGTAACAACGGGCCAGTACAGGGGTTCCCAACCTTTTTATGCTGCAAACCGGCAGCAACCAGCATATTACAGGCAGTCAGCCAACCTTTTTTTTTATACTTGGTATAAAAAAGTGTTGGCTGCCAGTCTGCAGCGTGCTGGTCACTTCCGGACTGGCAGCCAACCCTCCCGCGAGCCAGCAGCCAATCCTCCGCAGCCCAGTACCGGGCCACAGCCCATGGGTCTGACAGTTATATCGGAGAGTAGGAATATGACTTAAATTTCAGGTGTTTTTATATTTTGGAACTCAAAACCAACTGAATTTTGAAAATTGTGGTGTTTTGCTTGCTTAGAGCCTGTTTTAACTTTTTCTGCCTTTGCATTAGTAACTTTTATGGATCATCAGAGCTTTAATATTAACTGGAGCCTAAGTCAGGATACAAGCATTATGTTTCTACAGGGAGGATCACAGTTCTTTCAGTAGAAATCCTACTTTTTACATGTACTCTGGGGTGCGGGACAGGGGTAGGGGTGGAGGGCACGTTTTAATTGAAGCGACTCCCGGAAGCCGCTCTCATTAAAATGTCTGAAGTGTCTTGTGTATTGAGCTTCCTGCGGTTTACAAAGGCAGCAGGGGTGCTTTAACTAAAGTTCATTTGAGCTTTAGTTAAAGCACCCCCGCTGCCATTTTGAAATGTGGGGACACTGAATACATGTGACATCAGGCTAGAATGCTCCAGAATAGGTTAATTCTCGATTAATTGAGTCTGCTCCAGCGCATTCTAATTAAAATGCATCAGAGCAGGTGTTGGGCATGTGTATAGGTGCCCTTAGTGTACAAATGTTCAGCCAGTTTCTCCTAAACAAATAAAAGGTGGTTCCAGGAGAAAAATTAATTTGAACCAGGGAGAAGTGGTTCCTGGGAGAATGAACTCGGGTACGCTTACCCTTCTGATGGAAACCACAGTGCCATTCTCCAGCTTCTCAACCTGCACTGCTCCATTTCTGACTTTACTTCCCCCTAGACACTCTGTAACTCAGGCTAAACCCACTACCCAAGCTGAGCAAATCTCTATTCCATTTACCTCAGGGCAGGAAAGTTCAGTTCCTTTCACCAGCCCCAGCTATTCTTTAGAGCTACAGGGAGAGACAGGGTGCCAAGGCAGCTCTGTCTCTTGCATGCGACACAAACCCAGACATACCTGCAGCCGACAAAAGGGACACACTCTGGGTGTCTTCTCTAAACCTCACAGCAGGGAAGGAAGGAGGAGGAATTGTGAGCAGGAGCTCCCCAGGGGAGTGTGGTCCTTTGAGGCAACCAGCCAGTCAGTGCTGCCCTGTGCATTCAGCTGCTCTCTGCATTCTTTGTCAGCCAGGGCAGCCCATAGAGCAGAGATGGGCAGTTATTTCAGCTGAAAGGCCACTTAATGAGTTTTGGTGAGCTATTGAGGGCTGGCAGCAGCTCATCACAGCAGGCAGGTGGGCAGAACAGCTATTTGGTATGCTGCATCATGACCCATCTCCTATGGTCCCAGCTGGTCATGGTGCCAGAACTGCACATCTGCAGCATCAATAGGAGGTTAAGTGGGGGATAGATGTTTGGGGTGGGGGAGGAGTCTTCCCAGTGCCCAGCCTGGCCCAGCCCCAGCTGCAGCAGAGCAGAGTGGCAGGGGGCACTCCCTCATCAAGCTCCTGGTGGCAGCCGGCATGTTAAATAGGATCAGTTGGTAGGGTGGGTATGGCCCATCAGCCATGTTTTGCCAACCCCTGCTGTAGAGCATGCTGAGATACATGCACAGGGACCTTGTGTCTATATGCCATAAACAGCACAGGCTATATTTACAGCACCTGCCCAATCCCTCTAATGTTTGTACAGTGCTCTCCCAATAAATAGGTTTTTCCACCAGGGAGACAAAATTGCAAGACTTCTCACACTTCATTTGAATGCTTGTCTGTGACCTATGTTAATAGGCTTATATTTCAGCCCAAAAACCATTCCAATTCACTTTTGATAGCCTTGTGGTTTCTAGGTCTCTAATGTTGGCACCTATTCATTCATTAGCACTCAATTCATGTATTTTAATTAGAACAACAATATTTCTATCAAAGTTGTACATCATTTTCATTGAAACAGTATTTTTTTTGTCAATTCTTTGTGAAAATTTCATCTACTTAATAGTTATTTAACCATTCTTTCAGTGTTTTTTTTTTTAAAAACTTCGTTCTCTATATATTAGGAAGACTTTCTCTTATTGCTTACTGACCCCTTTCTGCTGTATTAAAAACTAAAATCTTTTTCACTGAAGAGACAGCATTGCAAAGCACCAAATGCTTGTGAGGTGCATGCAGTGGATGTCATTTGGAAACCTTTATACCATATGTGATGCACTGCAGAAGTTAATGTGCAGAAAACAAATCTCACTACTTCTTGAAAGCATAGGTTGATGGCATAGACTTGTGCTGCTGCATGAATAATTCCCTATCCCTAACTCCCCCATCCTGAGAAGACAGATTTTATTCTACTAGTATTAAATCTGTGAATGCTTAACTGAAAAATATCATATGCTAGCACCAAAGAATTACTTTTTGTTAAAATGAAACTGACTTCGTATTAGATCCTGTTTTATTCCATTTTAAACAGTTTGGCCAGAAGTCGCATGTGGAATGTGCTCGGTTTTCTCCAGATGGTCAGTATCTAGTCACTGGCTCAGTGGACGGATTCATTGAAGTGTGGAATTTCACTACTGGAAAAATTAGGAAGGTAAAGTAGTTCTGGTCCCTCATGACCAGGGAATAGATTGACCAATGCTGTGGGTTTGAACTTTTTCTACTTGAACCAAGATTCCCAACCAGATTGACCTAGGTATAATGGAAAGGAAAAGCTGGTCAAATGGTTTTGGTACAGGCATTGATCTAAAACTGAATTATAACACCTAGTTCTGTGAGATTGTGATCCTGGATAAGTCACTCTGCCTTTGGTTTCATTTGTGCTTTACAGGGATGTGCCAGGATAAATCCAGTAATGATTAAGATGCTTGGGTGCTATGATAAAGTAGCCATATAAATACTTCAAGTTAGACCGTTGCAAGGCCACTACATGGTTTGCTATAGTCAGAAGCCTCCTCTGATACAATAGTTGGAGCAGGACTGGAAAGGAAAATAAATAGCTACCAGAGTGGTCAGTTCTGCCAGCTTGGTGTCACTGACAGGACTTATTACATCTTTTCAAACTACAGTGCAGCAGATTCAAACATGTCCTCAGACATTTTTGTTGAAAAGGTGGCAGCCAAATCATTATCAACATTTGTGAGCACCAAACTATACAGGCAGTTGTTCATAGACTAGTCATATTTAACTGTTGCCTTTTAGTGTTTGTGGTGGTGGTGTTTTTCTATCTTGCACTTCCTTAACTGGCAGATTTCCTTGCTATTTCGTCTAGGATCTGAAGTACCAGGCACAAGATAACTTTATGATGATGGATGATGCAGTGCTTTGCATGTGTTTCAGCAGAGACACAGAAATGCTGGCAACTGGAGCTCAAGATGGAAAGATCAAGGTATGAAATTTGTGTGAAATGTAACACATTAGAAACGGGTAGGCAACCCCTGGCACATGTGCCAGAGCATGGCACGTGGGGGCATTTTGCTTGGCATGCATATCTCAGGGCCAACGCAGGAAAGCCACAAGGGGTCCAATCCTTGTTGTGGCAGTGCAACCCCAGCCCCTTTCCCGCCATCCACCTCAAGGTGTGCATGCACCTGCTGCTAGCAATGAGCTGGGATGGGGCTCTGTGGACCCCAGTGCAGCTGCTTGTAGCCTCCCCACTGCCTTCTGCAATCAACCCAGGCTCCATGGCAGGCAGCAGGGACCTGGCCAGAGCCCAGGCCAGCTGTGGCAGGCAATTGTAAAGCTGCAAGCCACTGCACCAGGGTGTGCAGAGCCTCAGCCCAGCTCATTGCTGACAGTGGGTGAATGTGCACCTCGGGGTGGATGGCAGGGCTGAGGCTAGGACTGCCCTGCTACAACAAAGATTGGATCCCTTGCGGATCCCTTGCCATCTACCCCTGGCACACCATCTCAAGTCGAGGTTGCTGGTGTTTTTGGCAGTCTGCCCAAAACTTTGCCAACCCCTGCATTAGAAACTTCCTGTACCAGGAATTGCAGGGAAGACCTGTTTGTCCCAAATCAAAGGCTAAACCTCGCACTTACTATATCTCAAGAGTGTGTCTTCAGCAGGAGCTGGAAGAAGGTTGTCTCTCTCAGCTCTGTGTGCATGGGGGAAATTTAACAGCATTGGACTCTAATCTTATTTTTTCCATTTTTTCCTCATGAGGCCTCAGGTGCCTCTACGCTAATGCTCATAGTATGGGGAGTAAGCAGGAGGAACTATGCCTCCTGATTGCGAGTAAGAACCCAGACTTAGTAGGGCTCGCAGAAACCTGGTGGTACCCTATCTACGACTGGGCAGCAGGCATTTAGGGATACACCCTATATAGAAGAGACAGGACAGAGAGGAAAGGTGCAGGGGGGTTGTGCATTATGTCAAAGAGCACCTCACATCATCAAGGATCAGCTTCGGGTTAGAGGAGGGTCAAGCTACAAGGGGTGTGTGGCGAAAGGGACCTTACGGTGGGTGTCTACTACAGACCACCGAACCAGGGGGAAGAGCTGGACCAGGACTTCTCCAGTCAGCTTATGGAGGCAGTTAGGTCAAGGGATGTTATTGTCATGGGTGACCTAAACTACCCAGACATTTGCTGGGAGAAGTGTCGCTGCCGTGCACTGCAGCGAGGGGTCCGGGGCCTGGCAGGTGGGTACTTGTGACGCTTGGAGTGGAATTAGGCATGGATGTTTATCGGTTGCAAAGCAAGATTGTTTATTTACGCTGTCAAGGTGGTGAATGACGGAGGTCATAGATACTTAGTTACAGCTTAGAGTTCATGAGGTCGGTCTGCAGATATATGCAGGCTGGCGGTCGGCAGGTTATGTCTTATCGAGCATGCAGGTTAAGGATACGCCTGGGAGGTCGCGGCGGGGAGGTTGATGAATGATCAGCTCATCGATTTACTCTGTGACGGGTGTTCAGAGGTCTCCAACTTTGCGGAAGTGCAAGCGGGTTTTATTTGTGTAATAGCCAATTGTATTTCGCCACGTCATAAATTTAATTAGAATCTCCAATTATATAGTGGTCTCCTCTAGGGTCTTGTTGCAGGGCTACTCCCAGTTTTACTCTGACCAATTATAATGATTTATGTAAAGCACAGAAGGCTAAAGTTTTATCTCTTGTTAGTGACGCAGCTATAAATCTCTTTCATTGGCATGCACAGCAAAGAAGGCTATTACCGGCAAGGGCTTCTTTTTTTAACCCTTAGTTGACTCCAGTGCAGAGTGAAAATGCTTTGAATGGTATCTCTTGCTAGTGGCATGGGCACTGCTTAATTGGGTTGTGACAAGAAGCAGACAGCCAGGTCTGACCACTCATAGGTTCCTGGCTGTATTACAGGACCTTCACCTTATCCAGAAAGTGCACAGCCCCACTAGGGGTAACGCCTTGCTGGACCTGGTCCTGGCCACGGGGGATGACCTGGTGAGGGGACTGCAGGTCCTTGACCACCTGGGCAATAGCAATCATCACCTGCTGGATTTCACTATCCAACGCAGGGCGTCAAGGGCTTACACCAAGGCTAAAGCCCTTGACTTCAGAAGGGCCAACTTCAATGAGCTTAGGAGACTAGTGAGGGAGGCACTGAGGGCCCAGAAGGTAGAGGAGATGGGAGTCCACGAGGGATGGTCGTACTTTAAGGGGGCAATCCTCCAGGCCCAAAGGGTAACAGTCCCTGGGAGAAGCAAGGGGGTAAGAGTGCTCAGAAACCCGCTTGGCTCAGCAGGGGCATTCA